GTCCCTGTTCTGTCAGGTGTGGGGGCTCACTTGTCTCTAGCCCTTGGCCTTGGGATTTCTGTATATCTCACTTATTTATTTATTTACAAAGTGTTTATTAATCCATCCTAAGATTACCCTTGTTTGGACATGCTGTTTCCTGTGGCTCCTGTGACAATTAACTGACACAGCTCTGACAATCATTTAGCACAGTGGTAGCCACCTACTGAGTGTGCTCCTATTCTGTTAGCAAGTAAAGAATGGCCCTCTCTCCTGGGCTGGACTTCCTGCTCTTGCCTAATCAATTGTCATCTCACCTTGGCTGGAGCTTGTCCATTGAGGGAAAGTCACACGCTTGGCAGGGGCTTGTTTTATTGAGGGCAGAAAGGATGTAGAGGAATGGCTGGGGCTGCACTGCTTGTGCCTGTCACATTTGGCAGAAAAAGAAACTTGGATTCTTTCAGATGGCTGAGTCTCGTTTTTTTAAAGTCTTCACTTTTAAGCTTATTATTGAAAATATCGTAGGCAGAAGTGGTGGAGTGAACACTAATCAAAGCTCCTGTAGAGAATTCTAACAGCAGAAAATGTATCTTTAAGTAATAGCAGTCATGTTGTTTTTAAAAGTGGCTCTGTATGTTCCATTTGGTTTCAGAAGGATTTGTCCCCAGAATGAATGGGGGTAATCTTGTGAAATCCCATTGTCTATTGATCAGACCCTTACTCAGTGTCTCATTTGAGCATGTTCTCCAAAAGTGTTGGCATGCATTGTCTACCTTTAGCTCTATTGTCTCAGGCTTTCAAGACAAGAAAAGCAGCCATCCTCTTGGTATTCCTTATACCAGTCCATCCCAATGTTCAGAAGAGAGCAGTGTTTTGCTAGCTCTTAGGCTACAATCTGTTATCCCACATGGCCTTTTCGTTTTTTTTACTTACTGTTTTGTAAATACGGATGAAGAATCTTTTTCCCCTACCTCTTTCCCAACTACGGCTGCCTATATCAACAAACTGGAGAAATCTTGTTAGTAGTCTAATGATATACCTCAAGCTCCTTGAAAAACAGGAACAAGCCAACTCAAAACCAGTAGACAGAAATAATAAAAATGAGGTGAGGCTGGGTGCCAGTGGCTCACACCTATAATCCTAGCTACTCAGTGTTAGGTTTTTAAAAAGAGGTAGCTGAGTAAGAACTGCAGCAGCACTCACGTGGTATTCAGGTAAGGGGTAGGTTTATTCAGTAGACCTGCTGGGATCAGGCAAGGTTGGCACTCCACGTGGCTGGGAAAGGCCTGGGAAGGAGAGAGAGCTGAGAAAGAGAGGAAAGAGCTAGAAAAGAGCAGAGAGAGGGGTAAGAACAGTAGCACTCACGTGGTATTCAGGTAAGGGGTAGGTTTATTCAGTAGACCTGCTGGGACCAGGCAAGGTTGGCACTCCACGTGGCTGGGAAAGAGAGAGGAAAGAGCTAGAGCAGAGAGAGAGCAGAGAGAGCTAGAAAAGAAGAGCAAGAGCAAGAGAGCTAGAAAAGAAGAGCAGAGAGAGAGAGAGAGAGAGAGAGAGAGAGAGAGAGAGAGAGAGAGATAGAAAAGAACAGCAAGAGGGATAGAGAGTTAGAAACGAAGAGAGAGAGAGGGGGGGGGGTCTGGGCCTGGGCTAGCCCTTATCTAGGGTATGGGCGGGGAAAGGTGTGGCCACATCAGGTTAAGATGTGACCTCAGCGGATGCAGATGTGACCTCTTCCAGGTGTCTCAGTTGCCTAGGTAACGCAGGTACTGGGTGGAGACTTTGCTGCGAGGAGGGTGGAGTCTGCTTGCCATCCAGGGGCGGACCTTACACTCAGGAGGATGAGATCTGAGGATACCGTTCAAAACCAGCTGGGGCAGGAAAGTCCATGAGACTCTTATCTCCCAAGGCTTGAGCTGCTGTGCCCCATTTAAAAGGTTTTATTCATTTTTGGTGAAATTTACGTAAAAATAACTTGCATCACTAGTGTGCATGATGATTTTAGTTCTTACATCTATCATCCAGTTCAGTACTATTTATTTCCCCATAGAAAGATTCATCACGCCCTTCCCCTTTCCCTAGGCAATCAACCATCATACATTAGTTTTGCTTGTACATGAATTTCATATAAATAGAGTCATGTCCTATGTGCTCTATTTTTGCCAGTCCTGAAGCTTGAACTCAGGGCCTGGGCACTGTCCCTTAGCTCTTCAGCTCAAGGCTAGCATTCTACCACTTGAGCCACAGCACCACTTCCAGCTTTTTCTGTTTATGTGATACTGAGGAATCGAACCCAGGCCTTCATGCTTTCTAGGCAAGCACTCTACTACTAAGGCACATTCCCAGCCCTACATGCTGTTTTATATCTGACTAATCTCGTCCAACAAAATGTTGTAGTTTGTTCTTGTAATGTGGTATGCTATAGTAATGAGTATAACATTATGTGTTTATCCATATTTATTCTTGTGTTGATAGGTATTGTTTCCAGTTTGGGATGATTTTTATGAATAAAGGCTTTGGACAG